ACTGAACTTGGACCGGTTAAGCAAGTGTTTTATTTCTTGTTTGTGTGAAATATGTGGTGCGTATGTTTCTATTCTTTTTCTCAAACAAAACGTTAAAGAACATGAAAATTTCACCACAATTCAGATTGTATATCCAGTTGCAAAATGAAAATCAAAACAACTTTACTAAGAACCAATGAGTATTTCTCTCTCATTCTTAAACAAGCCTTGAGTGATTTATTTGAGTTTGTACCAGACTTCCAGATACCTTAAGACCAAATAGAAACAAAAGGGAGTAGTACATTTCCGGGGAAAATAGCTTCTAAACAGACATGCATCCATCCCGATAGCAGAACACATTTTATTTCTGCAAGAGACAAAACAGACGGATCACAATTGAGCTTCGTTTGCCAACAGCAGCTACGGTAGTTATGCACTAAGAAGAAATAAGTGAAGCTGAAACTGTATATATGTAGTAAGCAAGACTGCAGATTCCAAGCACAGATGTCATGGAGAAGTGATGTTACAAAACTCCTCAGACGGAACAATCGATCCACGCCACTATGCAAGTGAACCAAAGATACGCTTCTGAACAGAAAATATTTACAATGGCAAAGCCAACTATCACAAATCAATATAACTTAGACAGACAATAAGTTTCAAACACAAGTGCAAACACTTAATACCATTTCGTCCAACCCAAAAAGTGAAAGCATATATATCAATCAACACAAACTCATCTACTGACAAAGACAAATGCAGCTAACTATGTAGTAGAGAAAAGCCATATTCAAATGCTGGATCTAAATGGTACCATATGATAACATAACAGTAAGGAACTCACCACTGTTTTGATTAGTTTGAAGATGAAGAAGTGTTGTCTTCAAGGAGATCATCATAAGGATCCCTTCGACCAGCGACCTGACTGATCTGAGGATCCCAACGAAGCTGAGCGTTGTGTCGCTCGAACGTCCAGAATCCATAAGGACGAATAGGTAATGCCCACATCTCCTTAATCTTCTTGCACCTCTCATGCATCTCATATATGTGCTCCCTCGCTTTCCTGTCTCTCACCTCTGGATCCTCCATTAACCTTAGCACCAAATTCTCTGCAAATTCCATTATGAAACCCATCTCGTTCCCCAAAAGTCACTGCACATGAAAAAAACACACATTATTCAGAATCGATTTAACCCGAAATTAGGGTTTCTGTCGCATTCGACGCATCGATTCCATAAACTGGGATTCTGTGACCTAACACATCACAGGCTAATTTGGTTCCCAATCTAGATCTAGGTTTGAGTTTCTACGAGCAACACATTATTACAATTAGGGCGGATCAACACGATTTAATTAGAGATCGACATAAACCCATTTGAATTTAACAAAGCTTACGATTTAGATACGAAATCAGACGAGGAAGATCGCAGAAGCTTTGCTTTGGGATGGTCGGAGAGTTTTTGATAGAACGCGGTCCAGAAGCGAATGATGAAGAAGATAACAAAAATCTGATAGAAAAAGAAACTGCGTGTTGTTTGATACTTAGAAGGAAGAAACAAAACGTTTTTTTGGTTTTAAAAACGTCAAGAAGTTTTTGTCTCTCTTTACGCAATGCTGTGATCAAATTTGTCTAAAACCGATTCGGCTGCCCGAAGGCTGTAAATGGTAACAAGATTTTGAAATTATGCAACATTCACCTAGATTCAGTAATTCCACAAATACTATTTATTATTTAACAAAATTATGCTAGATTCAGCAATTCCGTGAAAAACAAAATCAAAAAATTTAGCTGAATTCAACAATTCTTAGAGAATTAAGTGATATATAAATATGTTTATTTAGTTTTAAAAAGTCGGATAAGAACGAATATAAGAGTTATGTAAGGATATTTAGGATATCAAGATTATATTTGAAATATTTTTTTAAAAATGAATCGATAATGTGATATGGTATATATATTCCGGATATTTAAAAAAAAACTTAATTTTTTCTTGAAAAACAAAATTAAGCAATTGGCGTAAATTTTGCTGAAACAAAATTTTAGAATAATTTATTCTGTTTGTAAGATTAATTAACCTATGGTTTTGACGAGGTGTAAGTTTTCTCGTTAAATTATGTTGTA